AAAATGTAATTGTTGACAAGTTGACAAGTTGAAATTTGGAAGAGTTGAAGGATTGCTGAAATGCGTTCAGGTAATAGCAAAGGATCGCTTTTCAAAGAAGTCACCGGCGGGAGTGGACACATTGCGAAGTGAGGTAGCAATTCTGCAGTCGATTAGTCATTGCGGTATTATCAAGCTGGAATCAATGTTTGAAACAAAGGATAAAATTTTTGTGGTAATGGAGAAAATGAATGGTGACATGCTGGAAATGATTTTAAGTCAGGTATGTTGAGAAGTGTATCTATCATTTCTGTAATCTTTTATAGCTTAGAAAAGTTTGGAAAGAAGCCTTCATTACCTAGTTAAGCGCTTGAGGACAAGAAAGTCGGAATATTTGCGTTATATTAAACAATTTTTGCTGTCGAAAGTAAATGAAACTTACAGTCACTTACTGAGAGTTGAATATCTCATCTCACTTCAAGAATTTCCACTCTTCTTAATTCATTTTCAGGCTGCGGGTCGCCTGGACGAACGAGTTACCAAATTTTTGATAATACAAATTTTGTGCGCCCTTCGATATTTACATTCAAAGGGAATCGCACATTGCGATCTCAAACCGGAAAATGTTCTACTATCTGATCTCGTCAATGTTTTCCCTCAAACAAAACTATGCGATTTTGGCTATGCTCGATTTATCGGTGATGCTCAATTCAGGTAGTTCATTGTTCATTTTGAAATTTAGTTTATAAGATACTCGAGAGTTTAACTTGATGAGATATACGGTCTACGAAGTGCTGCTTTAATGAGCCGTTACGACTAAAACTTGTCAGGCCTGAAATGTTTTCCTCTTACAAGAAATGTAACTGACTGTAAGGCATTTTGAACTTAATAAATTGTAAGGTTACTCAGTTTCATGGATGAGGGGAGAGAAATTGCTTCATTCGTGATAATTTCAGGAAAACGATTGTTGGTACTCCGGCCTATTTAGCTCCGGAAGTTCTTCAAAAGCGAGGTTAACTTTGAAAGAAAAGAATTCCCTTCAGTTCCCGAAATTACTACTTATTCAGTTACTTGTTGGTTGCAAATTATCTTTGTCAATCACTTGCTGCTTGATATCATTTCTCGGGATCGCATTCTCGGGATTTGACTGCTTTTCATTAATCCAATGTCAAAGGTAATTTGCAGGTTACAATAAATCGCTCGATATGTGGTCTGTTGGTGTGATAATTTACGTGACGTTAAGTGGTACATTTCCGTTTAATGATGGCGAAGAAATTGCTGAGCAAATACAAAATGCTGCCTTCATGTTTCCGGCTGAGCCGTGGCAACAGATATCACGTGAAGCTATTGACCTGATTCAGAGATTACTTAAAGTGAAGGTAATAGCCGTGTTGTGGTGGTCAGATGGCATTGACTAGAACCGTTCCCGTCATTTGTTACCTGTGCCACCGTTAAGTCAACCGTTAAGCTATCCATCCCAGACAGATAGAAAATCAAAACATTTGGAAATTCTATTTATGTCCGTCACATTTCGATATTGCGGGGCGTTCCATGTGGAGACAGTAGGTCAAAGGTCGAGGTCGTTGTATTCTCGACATAGGGAAACCAATGCCCAATAGTCGGAGTTTGCAGATTGAGGAGCGTTTGTCGATTGATGGATGCATGAAACATGAATGGCTGGGTGGAGCGCAAGTTTACATGGACTTAAGACGATTGGAGTTGCAGTTGGGCGGAGAACGGTACCTGACAAATGCGGAAGATGACGTCCGTTACGCTCACTTTCTGGCAAGTGAAGAGCTTATCACTCAGCAGATTCCGCCGCTGGTCTGAGAGATGCAGAAATTGATGCGAATTTTTGTGAATTGATATCTTATCACTAACAAGGTAGCTGACAAAAGCTGTATCAAGTAGCTCGGTTGAAATTATCAGGTGAGAATAGGAATGATTTTTTGTTGGAGAATTTGAATAATTTCACCTTGTCATTCATGGCGACACATGGAAAGACGTGGAAAGGTGGAATTATTTTGATGAAAAGAAAAACTTTTTTGATGCAAATTCGTCAACCACTTTGCGCTGCAGTTATTCCGGTGACACACCTACCTGAATCAATATTGGAAAAGGTGTAGTGTTGTGATGGGAATATTTGAATTCAAGATTAGAATCTGAATCTTACACAGATTTCTGAAGTCTCTAAAGTTTTTTATCTTTTGAATAACTTTGAGTTTTCATTACATAATTATTTGACTCAGTTTTTACGCATGTTTATACCTTATTTGAAAGTATTTTCAGTGCATAAATTTTTGTCTTTTCGAAATTTTAGCAAAGAATTTTAAAGTAATTTCTGTATTTCTTTTATATTTGTTTAGAAGCTTTCTTATTTTGCATAATTTGAATTGAAAAGAATGCTAAATTATTTGAATAATATCTGCATGGCTTTCCTTTTGACATATAATCAAGAATTATGGGAAAAAAGAAGTGCGTGGCGAATATTCCGAATCAATGATCAAAAGTAAAAAAAAAAATCGATTACTTCTATGATCAAAAGTGAAAATGATTTTCTAATAACTTATGAACTTCCATTGTTTAAGAAGTTAGAAATTCAGCCGTTCAGATAGAGGTGACCTTTCGCCTTTAGTTACTTTTGTTGACCCTTGTTGCTTATGGCTAATATGACTTTTCCATAAGTTTAGTTCAAAAATGATACGAATGAAGTGAAGAAGAGGAAATCGAAATACCTGCAATTAAAATTCAGATTGATTCGGATCAATATTTCGTTAATCTGGAACCGTAATGAGTTGAATAATTCTTTCCGATTTAAGTGGACGTGTCCTTTCAAGATTTGCTTCACGTATGCATTACGGAAAATGATAGATGTATACTGAACTTAATGACTCAGTTTAAGATTATCCACCAGAAATGAATTCTTTTTATTAATTAAAGTGTACTGCTTACGATGCATAAATATTTAAGAATTAATCCTTGCGGCAATTACGTGGCACAGATTTTTTCACTTTTGTCAACGTCAAATTTGCATAAATGCCAAAGGTCATAGGAGCTGTCACGAAATAACTTAAATTCAATTTAAAATTTTATCTTTTCACATAAATGTTCGCATAACTGTCTAACCTGAATTTTCACATTACACTTAAATTTTTCATTTAAACTAATACAAAGAAAGAAATGAACGTTGCTTGACATATATTTGAAGATTTGAAATGGTCCAGTTGAAAGACTGATATTTTAATATGTTGCTTATCATTCTATTAATTAACACCTCGATGCTGATAATTTTATAAAATTTAGAAGCTGAAAAACTAATAATCTTATACATATGAAGTTGCAATAAAAGTAAGACTATCAAAAATTTCTATTCTCATTTTGACACAACATTCCATTGAATATGCCTTACATTTTTCACGAGATGCTACTGCAGTCATACGTGGTGCACTCACGTAAACCAAGTGAAGAGTGCGTGACAGGTGCACGTTGATGGAATATGCTTCTCACTTTGAATATTCGTTTATTCATAAGCGATCAACCCATCACGGCTAATCGTCAGAGAGTAAACATGAAAGATGCATAATTTCAATCGAATGAATCACATATTTACATAGCACAAATAATTTGAATGAAACAATCAGATTTGAAGTATTTCATAAAATTAGTTGCATTTCAATAGCGACAAGTTCGCAGATTTTATCGGAAACTTTGGAAACTTGCTAATGAACAATTTTTCATTTTAAATTTCAAATATTAAAATAAACATTTGTTTATCGGTCCTTTACTTACACACTTAATTATAAGATGTCGGATGATAGCAATCGGAAAGGACCGATATTTTAAGTTAAAAACGGTATGGAAACGAACTGTTTAAAGCATCAAATGAGATGCAACAAATTAATACGGAAACATCAACAAATAAGTAAAGCAGTTTATAAAGTTATGTCATGGGTAAAATCTCTTATTTTCCTGATTTGTTCGAATTTTCAACAGTTAACTCAATGAAACAAAAAGAAAAACGGGCCATATTCCTGAATAATGTTTTCATAGAAAATTAATTCATTGTTTCCGAAATGTTTTGATCAAGCTAATCTCAGATCTCCGGTTTTCCGATATCCTTTTTTTTCTCATTTTCTTCACGCTTCCTTTCCTAATTAAGCTTTACTCATAACATTTCCAAAATTTACACAATCATAAAAACAAAATAAAAGCACAAAAAGAAGGCAAAAAATTATAAGAGCAAGAGGAGATCATTTACCTGTATTATTTCTCTACGTGTATAAAGAGACGCAAGTGAAAAAAAAATTCGGAAATCTGATCGGAAAGTAATTAGGAGATGAAATTAAAAAAGTGAGAAGCTACGTCAAACCATGCAACATCTAAAAACTTTCTCGACCTCCCTCATTTCTGTTTCCGGTCAGCTTCAACTCTCTTCAATTCTTCAAAGTTAATCAGCTATCAGTTATCATTCCTATCTCACATCATTCCAGTACTTTCATAAACCGGATTGAAATATCGTAAAAGTAAAACGTCAACTTTAGCAGTTTGCAATAAGCAAATTCATTTGTCAACATTAAATGATGAATAGTTGATAAGCGCTGTTTAAACTTATATCTTCAAAATAACTATGAAATTTAGAAAAGATACAAATGTTAGCAGAGATGGAATAAAGAAAAGTGATCTTATGACTTCAGCCATTTCTTCCCTTCTACTAAAATTAATTTATATTATTAAGAACGGAAATAATTAAGGATTGAAGTGAAATTCCTCGAAGAGTACCTGTAACCCGTATTAGAGATAAATGTGGTAGAAATTTGGAATGGAATTTCTTCTGCTAAATGCTAATTTTTAGCAGTAAAAGTGAAATTGACATCACTATTTTGCATAGATCAAAGAACTTTGATATTTATGTTCGATGCTTCAAAGTTACTACGAAGTGGAAAGAATAGATCGATTTGCAGAATAAAATGATGAAAAATAACTTAGAATGTTGTTTAGCCCACCGAGGAATTTCGCTAATGCTATAAATAAACTTTTTTAACCTTATAATCCCTTGGCAGAGTACTGTTATTCAAATATGTTACAAAATTTTTTTCTGTGGGAAATTTGGGTGTCACAAAACCGGAGTTGACATTACTACCGAAATTTAAAAATGGTGTGCCATTTTGAGGTACACCAGAAGCCAATGATACTGTATCCTTTCCGAGTCCGGTACCGTAAACATGCTCCAATTTGGCACCAGCTAAGGAATCGTGACGTGTTAAGCGTGCACGTCCGTATGAATCATAACTTCCTTAAATGAAAAAAATGAATCGTCTTGATTGACATCAGGTTAGAAAGTAGACAATTGATTAATAATTGAAGAAAATCTTGTGAATTTAGTAAGGTTGATCTAAAAGAGTAAATGAACCGTAAATAAATCAGTCAACCTGTAGAAGAACCGGGCGAACGATGCTGACCATCCTGTACTGATCTCCACCTGGAAAACCGGTAGCCGGCAAAGAAGCCACAGGCGGAAGCAATAGCCATCGTTATCAAAACAGCAATGACAAGTCGTTCACTACCGGAATTGTTTGCTTTTTCGTCCGATGAAGTGACGCGTTCCGAATGTAACTCTAAAGTAACTGTTTGAAATCGACAATGGAATTCACTGCTAGCGGATTAAAAAGATGCCATTACTGCCTGATACGAGAGAGAGAGAAGAAGCAGGGGCAGTGCCGGATCGACGTTTCATCGAACCGAGCAGCGCCTCCTTACCGTTAATCGCGTAGTAGTCAGGATTCACGGCGCCTTCAGGACATTGCTCCGACTGTCCGAGGAGTATGTTTTGGACGAAATTCTCGCCTGACCACACGCTGCGACCAATACAACGTGCACTGTCTAAATCCCATGCACAGTGTGCGTCCTGCAAGTGCACGCAACCTGCACAATTCCGCTGTTCCGAACAATATTCCAGCGGTACTGCCGCTATTTCGTCTGCACTGACCACAATCAACTGCAATTCATATGAAAAGTGTTAACTAATTAATCGAGAATTGTCATTTTCAATCATCGAAAAATTGTGGAAAATCTTATGAAAAATGTTTAGAAGGCTTCAAACATGCAATTCTGATATGTGTGATATAATCAGTTAGCTAGTTAATTAGTTAATTACCTGCTCATTGGTAGCCATCAAATTAATAATAGGTGAATTCTTGGGGAAAACTTTCACCGACTGAACGATTGTTGTAGGACCATCTTGGGGGTCATAGAGTTTCAGGACATGTCCATCTGAGGTACCAATGTATAAGGCGTTATGTGTTGCCCCTTTTTTAACTGAATGAATCTGTAAGAGAGGTATTTAGATGCTTGTCACAGATCACCAATCACTTATCATTAATTAAAATTTAATTATCAGTAACAAATTCTAATTAACATCCCAGCGATCTATTTAACTACAATTTATTCGTCTCCTCTTCCTTTACCAGACAATATAAGAATGATGAAACTTTGTTATTAAAAAAATTGAATTTTATCAGAAAACTAATATTCGTTTAAAAAAATATATATAAGAATTAATCATTTTGTACGACACTGCCCGAAACTTTTTTAAAACTTTTTTTTTTTGTTAAAACGAATTTGCAATCTTTCTTCTTTCAACGATTTAAGATGAAGCAATTTCGGGAATTTAAGCACAATCAGACAACACTGAGATCATTTTGATGTATACCAGAGTTCTCTTTGACAACACACAGGTATAAGTAGCAGTAAATATGAATTTTAGACCTTTTTTTAGGTATTCAATTTCTGATTATAAAATTTTAGCTAAAAAACAAAAAATCTTTATCAAAAAAAAAATCACAAACTTTTGGGGAAATGGCAATCTGCGTGAATGAAGCACGTTCAGGTCCCTGAACAAGGATTGGTTTTGAACGTACCGCAGGTACCGCTTCATGCATCAGTGGATTGCGTGCGATGAACGAAACAATGTTTTCCGATAACTTTGATGAATCCGCAACGCACTGAAACAGCAAGCAATGGCATGCATGCGTGATGAATGTGAACTGCGCTGCATTCCGCGAAGTGTTCACGTACGAGTAGTCTTCCTGTTGGTGAAAAATATAAACCATTCTCAAGGAATATACGTGTAATAACATGACTTACCGATCCAGGCCTTGGAACAGGCATACTCTCGTGCGGCCTATAAGGTACCCAAAAACTTTGAACAGTTTTTTGGATTTTAAAATGTCCATAATCAAAAATCCGTTTGATAGTTTCCATCCGGTATACGCATACAGCTGACATTCGAACACTGCTTTCAGGTGTTGAAAAAACGGCGTACACGTAAGAAGAACCGTCGATTGCCGCTACTGGTTCGGTCACCGCTTCTGCAATCGATGAATATTGAAATCAAATTAGACTGTTTAATTATAAATGGAACTCATTTGTGTGATCTGATTTCTCCTTCTGCAGAAAAATCTTCTGAATTGATAAATTACTTTCACATTGTTCATATGTTCCTGTAAATATTTCACCGTTTTACATTCCCACAATCAATCAATATTTATTATATCGATATTTGTGATATCGAGAATGATTGCTTATTTGACTAAAATGAAAATTTCACTAAAATTAAAAAGTGAGAAGGATTCTTAAAAGCATTTGCTCCTTTTTAAGTTCACATCGATTCGGTCACCAATTTTCTATTTTATTGGTAGGAAAGTTGAAAGAAGATCCCACTAACACTTTTACTTCTCAAATTCTTTTATTTTTTCAAAACACAAGCAGAAGTGATCGAGAATTTCTCGCTACGTCATTCAAACTCAAAGACATTCATCCGTTAGAAGCAAAGTGAAATTGACAAGTAACTCATACGCAATTCATTGAAGTAAAATGGCGTATTTGCTGGCACTGAACAGTTCAATCGTGCCTTCACGTACGACGTCCAACGTTCGTGGGCCGGACGCGCGCCACCGCGATCGCTTCTGCAAACTCTTGCAACTCGAGCGTAGATCTGCAACGGAAGGCTGACTAATCATCGGCGGAATGAATTAAGTGAGACAGATAAGTATGCTTTTCTAAAGTGTAACAATGACATATTAAATTATTTAATGAAATTAGCAACAGAATTAAATAATTAAAATGGTGAATTGAAAACTTTTTGTTTTTGTTTTTGTTTCTTCTTTACTGCATATTGGTTCATTTTTTGAAACATTTTAAAAATTTTATTAGAAAGTACTAAAAATATTATTATAATCATTATTATAATACCTGTCGATCGCCATCACTCACTTCAGCAGCCCATTCGCGATACCAGAAATAAACATGGTTGCCGTAAACAAATGATGCCACGAAATTTGGTGCTGCAATAATAAGTAAGCAAATAAACAATAAATCGATCGACAAATAAACAATGAAGTAAGAACTGGATGAGAAATTTCAATACTTTTTTTTTTTAATTTAATATATTCAATCGTAGACGCAATGCGCATCTTAAATTATTCCATTTTGTTGTTTAACAGTTTAGAGTAGCTGAATTATCGATAAGGCGCAAAAGGATGAGAACTGTTTTCCGCTGTGCGGAACGCATATTACAATACTATTCGGATTTAATGCGATGATAATTTGAGTTGACTGAGATTAAAAGAATTGATTGCAACCGATTTCAAGTATCAGTTTCATCCTAACAGACATAATTTATTTAATTATTCTTCTTAATTAAAATATAATCTCAATCGCTAAATTAATGCATTTTTTTTATTAATTCTGATATTAATTAATTAATTAATTAATGATTCCTGGTGACGTAATTCATACATTTTACAATGAATACTAAAGCACATTTTATAATTCATTCACTGAATATTATAGAAAAGAATAGAACGCTCTTCAAAATGCACTTGATGTGATGGATGATTTGAGTTGATTAGAATGAAAAGCCTTTAAATAAGGTCAACAAGGTCATCATTAATTTCAAAATATATCTCTTTTTAATATAGAAAAGTTTCTACAAATAAGCTTGGGTATTGTTGTTCGAAAGAAAAAAGTGGATAGTCGAATTTTTGTAATTTTATTTTTTTTTAAATTGAAAATAAGAAATTATTCGATTCTTCCTTGGCAGATTTGCATAGCAGCAGAATGTATCATAATCTTATCTAAAGTTTTTGGCCAATCGTTTACTTTCTTCCTCATTTTGTCAAATCACTCTGATAAATATTTTTCCTGATCTTTCATGAAAAAAATTAATGAAAATCATTTATTGGTGAAATGTACGAATGAGAGCGCAGCAACAGGAACTTAATTTTGCAGAAATGAATTAGCTGTGGAATGTCCAAGCCATAAATTCTATCGGAGAGAATTGTCCAAGCCATAAATTCTATCGGAGAGAATTGTCCAAGCCATAAATTCTATCGCAGAGAATTGTCCAAGCCATAAATTCTATCGGAGAGAATTGTCCAAGCCATAAATTCTATCGCAGAGAATTGTCCAAGCCATAAATTCTATCGGAGAGAATTGTCCAAGCCATAAATTCTATCGGAGAGAATTGTCCAAGCCATAAATTCTATCGGAGAGAATTGTCCAAGCCATTAATACTTTTGTCTCATGGCACATTATATGGAATAATTTCACAAAGGAGTGCTCAGGAAATGAAATGAATGTTATTGTAGAACAAGCACCGAGGCATTGCAAACTGTCATAAAGGGTTTGATAATTACCTATTATTAAACAAGGAGTTTGATTTCTGCAATTATCCTAAGTCTTTTCCGGAAGTCTACAAAGAAAATTGTGAGACCAGAAATTTCATTTTATTGTGAGACCAGAAATTTCATTTTATTTTGAATATTTGAAAGTTAAAAAAAAAATCATTGATATTTCACTTGAAATTATATTCTCCCTTAAAGCTTTAGATCAGAAAAAGATCGGAATTATTTGAAGAGTCCGTCGAATAACGATGAACGATGGGGTCACCGGCAAGTAGATGGGGTCACCGGTAAGTATTCTTAATCTTATCTACCTTATTGCGTGCAGCACCTCTTGAAAGCATTGTAGGATAAGTAGTTGTTGAATCTCTTCAATTACTAAACTACTTAAGAACCAGAGACTCTTGCCGGAATATTGAGAACACCTTGTCGCCAGACGATTGAGAGGTCATGAATTGTCCCATATAAAATGGTCTCATTGAAAATTCACAGCAATGGCTTAGCTCTTCTTTTCCACTTTCAATCAATCGAGAAATTTCATTCTGGTATACTTACAGTCGAGTACTTTAAGGTCATCTCGTTGTGTCCTTAATCCTTCGTCATCCGACAATCTTTTCCTGTAAATAAGTGGATCATTGCCGGCAAAATCTGATACTGTTCCGGTATAAATTTCATTAGCATCGGCAATGTAAACCGCGGTAGAATTATGTTTTGGATCGTATGGTGCAATCGCCTGAAAGCAAATAATCAATTCCGAAGTAATATCAAATATTTGAAGAAAGTTGAAAACATCGAGAAATTATACAGTAAAAAGTTCAAAGCTAATTAGTTAATAAAGTTTGTAAAATTTAAAAGGAAAAAGTTCAGAAATTTACCTGCCCATCGAATTGGCGTCTCTGTTGCAGCATGCGATCATCGTCCGAATAAGCATATTCGCGACATTTGGGCGAATATGCGTGTGTGCCACAAATAAGACTGCGTCCATTGGATTGTCGCACCATAACTCTAATATAGTTATGACATTCCACCTGAAAATAACAAAAAAAACTTCATTTCGGGTAGGGAATATTGATCAATGCAGTTCCCAATCAAATAACGTTACCCGGCTTTTGCCCTTCATAAGGCAATCCTCGATCGTTTGCCCTGGCGGTAGCCATTCTAACACCTGTAAATTGTAAAGATAAGAAATGATGGGAAGTGAATCTCCTATTCAATTATGATGCTAAAAGATACAAAGTATAGGTTTTATTTTGCACCTCGCACCTCGCACCTTGCACCTTGCACCTTGCACCTCGCAGCTAACATTAGCATTTTTTTTCCTGCTACTATGCTAAGAATCACAGGAAAAGCTTTTATTAGGCGATTCTTTTGGATCACGTCCGAGCTGCTAGCACTAGAATAAAACATTAAAATTCACTAAGCGTAAAAGTAAGTACTCGTGAAAATCTCGCGAGTTCAATTTTCCTTGAAATTTATTTTCAACGTGCTTTAACAATATAACTTAAAGTGAAGCAGCACGAGGCTCTCAAGAAACTAACTGGTCTACTGATCAAAAATTAAGGAATGTCATAGATAAGAAGCATAGTACTTTTCTAGTGATCATTTTAAAATAGTTGTTTAATTCTTTTTAGTTCCTCAGTAATTTTTGAGGTTGACGAAAGATTTCATAAACCTGCTGGGTATGAGCTAAACTTTATAAATTTATCTGAATTTAATTTCAAATTCAAAAATTTCAAAAGTAACTCACATGTGACACTTGTAGATTGGCCATTGATAAATTATAAACTCTGTCCCTGCAAAAGTATAGATTTAAAGAAATTTTAATTTCATTTCATTTTTGCCACCATGGTGTGCTAATGGCCATTCAGGAAGTTTTGTGGAGGAAATGAATTATGCTCTCACTTGCATTAATTCTATTTGCTAATTATTAACAAGTAAGGAAATTATAATTTTTAAATTTTATTTTGATGAAAAAAATTCATGGAGCATTAAATTTCCATATTTATTTATTTATTCAATCTGCAATCTAAAACACTTCCCTTATATTACCGATCGATAATTATTGTGATGTGAAAATTTACTATCGATTTTTTAAAAATCTTTCCATCTACATTTCCTTCAAATATATCGCAACAATGCGCACATTGTCATCCTTCCATCAGTGCGACCTTTTGGATCTGTCACATTTCACACTTTTCAACAATTCCTACATGTCATTATTGCTGATTCTTTGGTAAAAGTGCGAACATGAAGGCATAAATAGTCAACGTGATCCGGAACTCGTAAGTGATGTCATCAGTAGGTCAGAGCGTAAATATTATCACTACTGATACTGTCATCCTTGTTGTTTCTTTCAGTCGTTACCACTTATCAACATTATTTCTCTATTTGCATACATATTATTATTATTATCATTATTATTATTATTATTATTATTATTATTATTATTATTATTATTATTATTATTATTATTATTATTATTATTATTATTATTATTATTATTATTATTATTATTATTATTATTATTATTATTATTATTATTATTATTATTATTATTATTATTATTATTATTATTATTATTATTATTATTATTATTATTATTATTATTATTATTATTATTATTATTATTATCATTGTCATCATAAAAAGTCATTATAAAAAGATATTACCATAAATAAATGTGGGACAAAGAGTTGACAACAAGGCCAAATCATTTAGGATCAAAGGTCAAAAATTATTCTTGCTTTTGTTCTTCTAAAAATTGTTCTTCTAGTTTTCACACTGAAGAATTACTGTGTTAGCATTTCAGAGCCACGGCAAAACAATAACTTAAAATTGCAATAAGGAGAAAAGAACGATTGGTTTGATCTAATCAAAGCAATCAATAATCATTCATTAGCTAAAATATTACCTTTCCTTACTGTTTTCATTTTCGAATAATTGATTTGTGCATGATATCTGTTCAGTTCTGGTACCATTTACTCATAAATATTACTTTAAGTATTGCTGATTTGTTTGAGTGTAGGAATTGAATTGGAATTAATTGTGATCTGTTGCAACTTAAGTATACTACTCATTAAATCAAAATTAGTATCGATTATTATAAAATCTGATGAATTCATTGCTGTCAAAGTACTGTGGAAAATAATAATGACAAGGAGGACAGGAGGACATCTGTCCTCTTTGTCATCATTACTTTCCACATTTCATTTCACTTTGTCACAATGGCACATTTCAATGGTACCCCTTCTCATTAAACATCCATCACATTTATTACTTCATTAGTAAAATAATATAGTGAAATAATAATATAACAAATAATAATTAATAAATAATAATATAATGATAACAACCATTGTCTAACTAACTAAATAGCACAGCATTGGCGCTTTGTTGACCTCCAAACGGACGTTTGAGCGCAATTGGTAGAGCTATCTAATGACGGAATAAGAAACAATAAATTTTATAGCTATTTTATTCTCTCCTACATACATATATTGCCCTTATTACAAATTTCATTGTGTAATTTTGTTTTCCAGTTTATCTCATAATTTTGATGTCATTTAAGAAAGTCATATTTCTCAATTTCAACGTGACCTTGGCAAGCACTAAGTCTAAATTTCCACGTGACATTGGCAAGCACTAAGTCTAAATTTCCACGTGACCTTGGCAAGCACTAAGTTCACTATGCACTTTGGTCCCACCTAAACTTCTATTACATTCTTTTACATTTCTCCCACTGCTTGCTTATAAAGCATTGTTAGCATATCGATAAAAGTTATTGAAGCCATATGGCTGTTTCAGAATCTTCACAGAGACATCTCTCTCTCTCTCCCTCTCCCTCTCTCTCTCCCTCTCTCTCTCAGTGAGACAATTCCCTTTTGCGAGAGAAAATTTATGAGTGGAAGGATGTTTGATAGTGAAATAAAAGTTCTTTTCTGCAAATACTAACCTTTCAAGACTAACAATAATAACATTGAACTTTTCTTTTCACTTTACAAATTTCTACTAAAATGAGATAAAATAGATTTTGTTTATGTCATAAAAATAAGAAGGAAATTAGAAATAATTTTACAGTTGAAAAAATTCAACAATTTCTTTTTTTTCTTGATTTGGAGAGAAAAATGAAAAATTCCGGTCATCTTTCTGGAATCCTCATTTCCTTAAGAACGGATAACCTCTTCCTTTATCAGTAAATTATAAAATGTTGCGCGATTTATTCACTGGTAAATAGTAAATAGCAATTATGTGTACACAGAGAGAAAGCGCTCTTATTTTAATGTTTTACTGTAAGCGCAAAAGGTATGACTGACTTGTCTGGTTGTAAAACTGTAGAGGGGAAAGTAGAGCTGCGACTACCAGCGTACTTCACGTAATTCGTTACCTCACGTAAAGCTTCTAATAGACACTTCTATGTATCGTCCCGTTGTTACCTGTACCTAACTGAGCTATTAGTCAGTGCTTATGCGACTTGCAACGAATCTTTGCAAACATTTCGATTAAGCTAATATTAATTTATTAAATACCGCCAACTCATTGTTAAGCAAATATCGACTTTTAAGATATGCGCAAATGTCGTATCAAGCAGTTAGTTTGTGGCGGATTAAATTCTTTGTTTGTTTACTAACTTTTTGTATTAGTAGTGCAAAAGTTATAATTAAAGAATGTTTTAAAATGGTGAATTGCAAATTTAGTGAAAGATCATCCGATTTCATCCGGAATTGGTTGTGTTCAGGAAATAATAAGTCACTGATATTGATAAGGTTTTGATCTTAGAAGGATCATACACACATATGTACATGCATTTGAAGATTTCCGAACACAGAAATGTCTTTCCTGAGCAGGAAAACGGATGGCTCATTTCAGGAAAGGAAAGGACTGCTGCCTTGCTCGAAGGCACCACAATCTTCAAAACTTCACTCTCTTAAATTATCCTAATGACTGTCACTAAAGACCAAAAAGTTTAGCAAAATTCGAAGAGTGAAAAATGAGAAAATTCCGATTCATAGTGCAAAGTGTCTTCCCTGTCTGCAATAAATGCCTTAACTTACTTGCAGAGTATTTTGAAAGTAATTCCTAACAGTAAATAAGGTAATAAGTATAAGTGAAATGTCTCTCAGTCAAAGTTGTCATTCTCTTATGATCAACGCAGTTATGCGAGACCGTAACTGATTGCTAACTCTCAGTCGATTTTATCACTCGGACATAAAACCGTTTCCGGTTTGAAAATATTTTAGTGAGAGAGGGAAAAAGAGGGAGAAAAAGAGGAAGAGGGAGAGAAAGAGAAGACAGAAAGAGTATACTAATGGATAACACTGTTGGAAGTATTTCAGCAAGATCTAATTGCTTGTTGTTTACATTTCCTTACTAGATCTAAAAATTCATCACGTATCAAAGGGACTGCTAGACGTTACGTGTACCCTTACACGCTAATATCCGTAAAGTCAAATTTAAAAATAGCGAATTTAATTGTGTGAAAGAAAGAATGTCTTAGCGAAATTATGTATAATTTTCAGTATAACCAGGTGTATTTTTGGGCTGCGTCTATTTGTATACTAAAATTAATTCCTAAATCTCTGTTTCTCTCTTTGTTTTCTTTTTCTTATTTAGTAAACAATTTTGATTACAAATCATTTTACCCAAAAGTATGCAAGAAATGGTACTTCTCAGAAAGAAACACTATACTAACATATCTAACATTGATAACTGAGGAATGATTTGGCGATTGGGGGGTGAAAGGTTACATCAAAATGTAACACAAGAGGTGCAGTAATCGCTGGTTGAAAGTGATTTTGTTATTTGATGACTGTATGGTACAGGTAGATAAATGTCCTGAATACCTGAAGGTAAGTCTTACCTTGCACCAACAAGGAGCGAATCGCCATCTGCCTCTAATAGTTTGAAATAGTTCGAGTCATTTTCTGTTACTGGTTCCGATGTTGACAATCCACTACGACCAGTAAATCGTTTTCCGGAAAATGCTGAAAATATTCAGCACTTTTTTACATTTTATTATAATGAAATTATTTCATTCTGCTTTTTTATAAAATACTGACTATTTTTTTTATTTTTTTTTATAAAATACTGACTACTTTTTTTTAGCTATTTCTGTAATGCATCGATGCTTTCATCATTTGATCGCATTTTAGCATCTAAATTATTCACATGCATGCCGCTATGCATGCTTCTGTGCATGCATGCATCAAATATGTTCTGTTTCCATTGTATCTAATCAGTAATGCACAACATAGAGTTTCATATGGTATACTTTCATTCCTTTAACAACTACCGCCGAGTAACTTTGCTAGGTAATTTGTTAATCATATGGTAATACTTCCCACAAATTACTTTCCTGACTTTGAAATTAAGATTGTACGAAAGCTATGAAAAATGAAGGTGTTCTATCATCAAATATTTATCGACATTACACATATTACGTGAGTTCTTACGCTGCTTATATATGTGTCTTCACGCATGAACGAATGCATCAATTTTACGTGACGTTGTACACGCTCTGCACAGATAAGTAATGCAAGTCAAAATGTTTGAAAATTATCATTCATCAAATGTTCTGGCACTTATGCAGTGCTGATGGAATGAAGTATACAAGGATGAACGAATATGAGAGTTACACGTGTGACTCACTCAGGACACGTTTCGACACGCTTCTGACGTACTTCTGTTGGTGTAAAGAGTGGAACGTTTGAATGTGATAGTTGTAATGTTTCCGAAAGAGTGTATGAAATGATGAAATCTTCAAACTTTTCAGAA